CGGGGTCAAAGTCAGCTGCCAAGCGATTCATGCGGTGAGTACACGCATTGATCGAACGAGTAGACGCATTGAGAGCTCAGCGGCCTACATCCCTGCCAATCCATTGCTTTGTGATAGCGCAACTCAAGGCACATGATCTGCGATCTCTTGGATTACTATTCGCCAACGATGTGCATTGTCGGATCCAGAGGCCTGGGCTCTCTCAAAGGCATCCTGCTCGGGTCTACATCGCATTACTTGGTGCAAAAGAGTCCAGTCCCGTGAGCCCGGTGACATGTCTGCCCGAATAAATCGAACCACTGTAGCTCTGACCGGTCCCGTTTCACTGCTGCCGCGCAGCGTCATGGTCGCTCGAAAGCGATTGCGCTTACCTGCTCTGCCTCGGGTCAAGAATGATGTCGTCTTGTCGGTCCGAGAGCGGCACATGCGCCTGGATCAGGCAGCCATCGAGAAGGACTCGAATGTAGCAGAAGAGAACCCGGACCATCCTTCATCGACTGGACAAGACCACACGAGCAAAGGAGACGACATCCAGGATTCGAACAGGTCCGATGGCTTAGACGACGCAAACTCTGAGCACACCAAGAAGTCCGATCTCAACGAGAGGGTTGTCCAGGAGGATGAAGATGCCACCTCTCTGGCTCACTTGGAAGGTCCTATGGCCGATAAGGCAGGCAAAGCTCCTCAGAGCGGCACCGAGAGCGCGGTAGCTTTGGACCGAGCTGAGCGGCGGCACAACGAAGATCAGCCATTGAAGAGCTCGAATGCCAGCGAAGACACCTCTTCGTCCGTGGTGTCTGAAGATCTATCAAAACCTGATCCAGCAGTTCAGAAGGCGAAGTCTCCAGAAGAGCTCGCGCAGGCCGAAGTTGACCGTGCAAACAGTCGCACTGCCGAGACCATCGTGGAGGAGCCAGAAGTCAGTGACGCGTAACGAATCGTACTTTGCCTTTGGTCCCTTCCTTTCTGCCCACACTGTAGTTTGCGTCCTGTTCGTCAGCTCTGCGACATGCTAGATC